TTTTATAAAAATAATAAATAAGCAGCAAATCAGCATATTAAAATGATTTCTGAAGGATCATGTGACACTGAAGACTGGAGTAATGATGCTGAAAATTCTGCTTTAAAAATGTATTAAAATAGAAAATAGTTATTTTGAATGGTAATAATATTTCACAATAACTCTTTTTTTTTTTAACTGTATTTTTGATCAAATAAATGCAGCCTCGTTAAGCATAAAATATTTTAAAAATCTTACCAAACACAAACTTTAAAATGGTAGTGCAGGTTTTCCATTAAAAATTCACCAGGACCTAACATATTCACATTTATATGTTAATTTAAATATCCGCTATCTCACCATACTGTGTAATTTGCAGCATTGAGGTCGATGGCTTCAGCGGTCAATGCAAACGCTCTCTCACTCTTCTCATCGTTCTTCAGGAGCGCTCTGAACATGTCAAACACGTCTGTGACTGCAGATGAAAAGCGTTCAACATGCTTGTCTTAACAAACGAACAACTGATAACATACAGTGAATAAAACAAACCCTGACAGCATGATTGGGTCTTGTATCGCACTGAATTGGTTTATTTTGTGATAATTACTGCTGACTGTACATTATCCCATTAACTGCATGGTTACTTAAATAAATCAGCATGAAACAGAGCAATGGATATGAGTTGTGGAGGAGAAAAGAGTGTGGAGTGATACGAAAGACATGAAAGAACTGAGAAATCAATGGTCTGAGACGATAATAATGTGTGATACTAAAAAAAGAACTGTTGTTGGTTCAAGCTTTATTGAATAAAAGACACTTACATTTCTCTGAATAAGCTATTTTCACGACAGGGTTTGGTCCATCATCTTGAAGAACGGGTTCTAGATCGGCCCACTCTTTTCTGTCCCTAAAATAGAAAAACAAGCACATTAAATAACAGTTTATAGAATTGCTAGTTAAATGGTCCAGGCATTTCACCAAGACTTCATAAAATGAACCTCTTTTGAATTAACAAAGCCAAATTTCTAGTGCACAAACAAGTGATTTAGTTCATATGCATCTCTTGAATGTGATATTACTCAAGATGACATTTATATCACAGAGTGTCAGCATTAAACTATCGAGTCAACAGAATGAATCAATAAAGAAAAAGGTTCATATGAATCTCTTAATTCTCAAAGACTTCTGCCAGTCTTATTTAGTTCATTTTAATCAACCAGAAAATGGATGATAACATCTATAACAGCTTTTTGGGCATATTACATTAGGCTCAATGTTCTGGATTCATCTCATGTGACTCAACCACCTAGAATGAATGAGCCAATGAATCAATGGTGAAAAACTACCTTCAGAAAACACCTTCTGTATGGTGGTACCTGGTAACTCAGGATTAAACAGACTTTTCCTGATCAGGATTTAAAAGACCTTCTTTAGCCCAGGATTACTTCTTCAGATGTGAATCACTCAGAAAATGAAAACTGCCATAAGAAAATATCTAATCTAGTGTTAAATTGGGATGAAAAGACTCCTTTAGTTCTGCTCTGTCTGGATTACACAGATTGTTTACATCCTGTTCAATTCTCGATTCAGTTCATATGAATGTTTAACGTATTGATTCAGCTCACGTGATTCTCTCAGAGAGCTAACATCAAAACACATCTGTAGTGATTATAGAGTGTTTACCAAGGATTACCCTATTAACTTAAACTTACTCACGATTTTTAAGGCATTTTTAATTCACATCTTGAATACGCTCCTGATTCCGTTCATGTAAATCACTCATATAAAACAAGCTAATACAGCTGCCTGCACACTGAAGTGCATTGCTTGTATGTCTAAAACGTTATTAAAAGCGGATGTCCCACACAATTAAATAATAATGAGATTAAATAACCATCTCTTACTGAAGTGATTAGCCGCACACACACTCGGTTATCATGCTAAGTAAGCTAGCTGCTAAACTAACCGGTAGAAGATATAACCTCCTTTAACAGGCTCCTCTACAGTGTTCTCCTCTTCCACTCCGTCCTCCTCCAAATTCTCCGCCACGGAGTTGGACATTTCTTCAACAGAAGACATTATAGAAACTGCACCTGGATAAATTAACTGTGCAGATGCAGAACTGAGCTGACAGACGCGTGAAGGCAGAGACACGTTTGATCAAGAACGGTTTCAAAATAAAAGCCTGTCAAAGTCGAGTAGAACAGAAACAGGACAGCACCAGGCAGAAAACATGGTGAAATGTAGAAATGTAGGAAATAATGGTGAAAACAAAAGTACAATATTATAAAACAATGTAATCTAATCAATAACTAAATCTAATATTATACATTTTCATATACACGCGCACACACACACACACACACACACACACACTTTATAGCAATTATACTATGTGTATGTATGTATGTATGTTCATATTATTATTTTCAATTATTAGTTTAAATTAATTCGTTTTTTCTTTTCATTTATTATTTTTATTTCATTTTATTATTCATTTTCCCCATTATTTTGATTAAAACACACACACAAATTATAAATTATATGTAATAAATTATATGTAATATAACATATAATTTAGATTTTATATATATTTTGTGTGTATATATATATATATATATGTGTTTAAAATATATTTATATTCAAATTCATTCCCGTTATTTTTATTTTTCTCTCACACACACACACACACACACACACACACACACACACACACACACACACACACACACACAC